TTTTATTGAGGGCCTTGTTTGCATCCCTGAGTATTGAAAACTAATTTCATGGTAACTGTGCCCCAGACAGCCTCTGACCACTACGTCTCCCACCAACCCCTCTCTGTTTGTGAACAGCAGGTCTAGCAGAGCCCCACCCCTGGTAGGTTCATTTACCAGACAGAGCAGGAAATTATCCTCTATACACTCTCACAATCTCCTAAACTGCCTCTTCTCCACTGTGTGGAGTTCCCAGCAGACATCTGGCAGGTTAAAGTCACTCACAAGAACAAGGGCTGGATATTTTTAAGACATCCACCAGCTGCTTGCAGAATAATTCATCACCCTCATCGTCCTGGTTGGGTGGTCTGTAACAGACTCCCACCAGAATATCAGCCTTGTTGGCCTTCCCCCTGATTCTGATCCACAGGCACTCAACCTTATTGTTACTGACTTCAAGTTCTGCAGAGTCAAGAGAGTCTCTAACATACAGAGCCATTCCTCCACCTCTCCTACCCTGCCTGTCCCTTCTGAAGAGCTTGTAGCCATCCATGGCAGCTCTCCAGTCATGTGAGTCCTCCCACCACATTTCTGTGATGGCGACTACATCACAGACATCCTCAGACACTCAGTTTGTGTATAGATCGTGGAACTTGTGTCCAGACAGAGTCCCTCAGGACAGGGATCCCAAGAACATGCATGGGAAATGGCATACATGGCATGTGTCTGTGCTCTGTGCAGCAGAACCACGTGGACTGTGCTGCATGGCACATCATGTGTTTTGGCAATGACAGGTGGAGGCTAAATTTGTCTAGAAGCACTTTCCAGATTTGTTCCCTGATATACAGCAAAAAATTGATTTTTCTTAAATGATAGAACTAAGTTCAATATTTAGATAAAAAGAGGAAAGAGAAGTATCTTGCATGGAGGATTCTCTGAATATCTTAAGAAGATGTGTAACCATAATCTTTCCACCAGAGCATTAAAAAAAACTATCATAAAATTTTTAAAAAAAACTTTATTTTTTAAAGAGTGAGAGTAATCAAAGTGTTTCCTAGAATACTTCCCTGCTTCCATAAGCCTCAGCCAAAAATGAAGGAAGAACTGATTCTTTGTAGACCTTGACAGGCTTACAAAACATAGATAATGTAAAAACTTCAATAATTCAAAGCCTCTTAGGCTCCTTCAGCCGTATGTGTTTCCTGAGGAAGCATTCCTGAACCTGAGACTCCAGCAATGTGGAATTCTCAGATTTTGAATTCCTACAGAGGGAAGCCCTCCACAACAGTGCCTTTAGCAGTCACCAGACAGTTATAAAGATATTGCCACACAAACACTTGTAGCTGGGATAATGTTTTCGGGTGCAGAGGAGCAACTTGTGTAAACAAATATATACAATGTCCTCTATCCCTGTCTAGCCTTCAGACCTAGAGAAGTTTCAAGTGTAGGCTTTCAACCTGGAAAAAAAAACCTCAGGCTTTTAGATCATGGTTTACATACCTGCTGTTTCTGACCTAGGTGGAGATATTGCATTAGAAATAACTGGGGTATAAGGATATTTCAGTTCCTTCCAATTCAGTCATTAGAAGTCTAGAAAAGTCGTATTTTTAAAATCAGGTTTAACTTCAACTCAGAGGCATTTATTTCCCTGGAACTTCTGTAGAACTCAGCATACTGAGTCGATAGCAAAGCTGATTTGCAAAGATAGTATAAAGCCTTTACCCTCTCCTTCCTACCAACAGGTACCACTGCCAAAAATGTCACACCTTATGTGGACTGAACCACTAAGAGGAAAAGGGATATGACAGCTCCTAGTGAAATGTAGAGATGGAAAAGGCTAACAAATGTAGATGCTACAGGTGGTAGCATAAAACAGGAATTAATGCTAGCACTGGACATTACAACTGAACTAAAAAAATAAGCACTGAAGTGGCACGGTGCTACTTCTTTTTTCTATTTCCCCTTCAGCTTTAATAAGAAGGAATTTCTAAAGAAAATAGATCCCACTAGGCCAATTACTTAAAACATGTAAACACTGTCTAAACAACTCAGCTAAATGGGAACATTTGGTTACTTGATTATACCCTCTTTCTAATTTAGAACTCAGGCAAGCAGAAAATGATGCTCTACAATAGGTTCCTCTTTACAGGAAATAAATATATTGACCAAATCTTTTTAGGGGGGCATGATAAATGTCCATCAAACTACTTCAAGGTACACAGCTCGCAGCATTAGCATCTAGAGATACAACTATAGGATCTGCAGCTATAAAGGAGAAATGTCAGACAGATTTCACACTCAAAAAAATGATTTTTAATATAAAGAATCATCCCAGCACATACTTTAAACCAAAGTCCTTTATCCAATTCTAAAGGTACCTGCAGGGCAGTTTCTAGATCAAGTCTTGAAGCTGATATGATTTGAGCTTAGATTTGGCCCATTGTGCATGCATATGAAGTGGCACTACTGCTTGGAGAGGCATATTTATCCCAGAGAAAAGCATTTTAAGCCCCAGAGAGGCTTAAAAGCTCCCACTCTCTCCCCCATATCTTTCAGAAAGACACAGATACCTGCACATACCCATGCCTGCTCTTCTGCAGCATTGGTAATTGAGAGTTTTTCTTAACTTTTCTCACATTCAGAAGTAAGCTTTGGTTTTGTAATTGCTATTAGAATTGACGCCAAAGATAATCAAAATCAATTATCAGCTCTGAGATGGGAGGAACAAAACAGAGGAAGAACAGCAGAGCATCAACTGGGCTTATGATATTAAAAATCTATAAGAGGCAAATCTATGTCTCATTCTGACAAGTGAGGAACATATCTGTCATTCCTTTCATCTTGCAGATGATTGTAGATCTCGACACATAATACTGCAACCACATCTTTCCACCAAATTTCTATAATGTCTGCCAACATTTTATAAAGGTTCTAGATAAAAATGATGCAAACCTCATATTTTATAAACCTACTTAAGAACTCCATAGCTTTTAAATTTTTTCTTGCTTCATTTTACAATGACTCTTTAAATAGTATGAAGCCCTGTTTCTTTGCCAGGAGATAAAGAGTGCCAAACACACCAGATCTAGGAGACTGGAAAACAAACAGGTGGGAAAATTAATAAGAAGTATTCCTATTTACATTTGCTGTAAAAGAAATCTTTGTGTTAGAGGAAGCCAGATAATATATGGCATGCCATCTGGTTTGCCTAGAGATGGGACAATGAGATTTGCAGATCACAGCTCGTCCTAGACAGCCATTATCACCCAGTTAACCCAGTGTTTGAACAGAATCAGCCCATTGACAATGAAAAGCAGAGGCAGAGCAAGACTGTTCAGCTGACAGGGGCAGGAAGCAGTGGTGCTGGTAGTCTCATCTGCAGGTTCAGCTAGGATTTTGGTGTACTGCTTGATTCCCTGTTTTTGCTAAACTTTCATAGAAGCATCTATGAATAACACTTCCAGCTATCTTCTCTTAAGTAGGAGATTCTGATTCATGCTGTTGAACGGAACAGTTCTCACAAATGTGTTACAGAAAGTACTCAGCATGGTGCTTCCAGCTTTTGCACAACATGGGCAGAACATCCCTTTGGCATAACAAGTAACATGGAACAAACATGCCATCTTCTTGTAGTATCAAGCAGAGACTCCACTCAGATACACTCAATTGTCCAAAAGACAGTTGTCCAGTCTGTACTAGTCAGGTAAGCTTATTGATTCTCTCTTAAATGGAAAGATTAAAATTCTCTCATAAATAAGAGAAATTCGGTGTAGAATTGTACAGGTAACAATGTAGAGAAGGTGGGACATAATCTGGAGTTGCCTCTTTTTCCTGGAGGACTGTGAATGACTACGTCCTTAGTGCTTACAAAGGAAACCTTAGGCAACTCAAGATCCCATTTAGAGCAGAATCAACCTAAGGTTCTGAGTTATTACTTTCAGAGTGATAAATGGCCATTCTCAGCTTATATAGACCAATAAACTCCAGATGTTGACAGGGAAGGTGCTCAGTAGGCTCCATGACACTTTCTACAACAATGGTAAGCAGAAGAGTGTGAAAGACAAAAAGTTGTTTTCTTGGACAATCTGAGGCTGGGCCACAATTCCCGCTAAAAACAGGCAACACAGCATCATGTGCGCAATATGTTTCTGACCTTGTCTGTCCTGACAGAAGTCCACGGTAGAGCATATCTTAAAATAAATTTTAAGGAAGCCTAAGAAACATAGTGAACAAATCATACAAACTCTGAACAAAATCCTCTCGCAAACACAGTTCTCTCATGGGAATTGCATGTAAGAGATACGTGGACCACACATGGCAAACGTTATTCATATTACTCTGAGCACTTCTGGAAGGCTCTCAGATATTAAAATAACTTGTTAAGGAATAAATCACTGAGGTAAACTCTGACTTTCCTTTTAGGTTAGCTTTACTTAAAAAAGCTTCACACTGTTCAGATGCTGACTGACCCCTGTGGGATTAAAAAAACGCACTTTTATGGAGACATCTGGACATTCACATAATGCAAGGTAATGTAAGTTTCAGCCATTCCAAGTTCTGCTACTGTGAGAAAGTTTGCTCATTTTAACACTTGAGGAACAAAACGGACAGTATAATGTATATCTAGATATGGTTAAAAGCAACATGATGAAAAATTAAAAGATGACCCTCACACATGGTATCTCAAATTTCCCATGAAATATAGAAACACTTTCTGGTATCTTAGAAGTTATCCTCCACACTACCATGTTGCTGGTTTCAGTGGTATAAATAATATAAATTAAACTGAAATCACAGCAAACACAATTATTACAATTAATTATATGTAACACATTTTAAAGTATTCATTGTCTCTCCTGAATTAAAAAAACCCACAACATTCCTATTCCCTCTCTGGGTATAGGAATGCTCGAGTGCTGTATTCGGAAATAAGTTTACCAAAATAATTTACACTGTCACAGCAGAAAAGTGATAGAACATATTCTCTCTGGTATCTACTATGAATTCCAAGTTTTACTTACCAATCCTGCACAGCGTTGAAAGAGTCTTCGTTTGTGATGTCATACATTAAAATGAAGCCCATTGCACCCCGGTAGTAAGCTGTGGTAATTGTTCTGTATCTCTCCTGTCCTGCTGTGTCCTGAAACAATAACAAACAAAATTTTGACACATTGCAAGTAAACTGGAAAATTATTTTTTTCCTTAATAGAAATAAAACTCTGAGAACAGTTATTGTACAACTCTGCAATCCTGGGAAAAACAACAAAAAGAATTCTACATTGGATCATAATAGGAGGGACACATTGATTACGTCATGAGGTGAGAGTGGAGAGAAGCAGAAGGGCATGGCTCCCTGTCAGGCCATATATCCTGAGTCATCGAGTCATGTTATTCAATCTGAAAGTCAGGTAAGAACCTTCTCTCCTGCTCCTGCCCTGTACCTTCCCAGTCCGTCAGCGGTAAAATCTCATGTGCTGGATAAAATGCTGGAGCAAAATAGCATCCTTAAGATCTTCATTATAAGACCAGGATGGTTCCTGAAATCAGGAAACATCCTGACCAAAAAGGCAATGTCTGATTGTCCTGTTCTTGTGATTTTAAGCCACTGGTGCTCATGTCAACTTTAGCATACAGCTTTTTGCTTACTTACAAAAAAAAAAAAAAAAAAAAAAAAAAAAAAAAAAAAAAAAAAAAAAAAAAAAAAAAAAAAAAAAAAAAAAAAAATCTGAAAAACAAACAAACAAACAAAAACAAAACCCCCAAACAAACAAACAAACAAACAACCCTCACAAAAGAACCACACACACAAAACACAAAAAACCAAAAACAAACAAAAAACCCCCCACAAACAAACAACCTCCCCCCAAAACAAAACAGCAACAAAAAACCCCACAAAACAAAAAACCTAAAACTCCTCCCCCGCCCCCCCAAAAAAACCCCACAAAAATACCAAACCCTGTATGGCAGTGTTTTTAAAATGAGGATGATATCTGACCAAAAAAAAGGAGTATGCTATCAGTCCCTTACCTCAAACCACTTTTCTTCCTCAGTCTCTGCAACTCAATCAATTGCCTTTAAAGAAATATAAGTTCTCTTTCTCCTACTCTGTGCTTTACTTACTACCATTAAAAGTTTTTCAGGGTAGGGACTACCTGTTAATACATTTATATGCAATGCCTAGCATAACTTTTAGTCTACAAAAGAGAAGACTGAGATGGAATCTCATTAATGTTTATAAATATCTCAAAGGTAAGTGTCAAGAGGATGGTGCCGGACTCTTTCTGGTGGTGCCTAACAACAGGATGCGGAGCAATGGCCATAGACTAAAACAAAAGAAGTTTCATCTCAACATGAGGAAGAACTTCTTTCTATTGAGGACGGTAGAGCACTGGAACAGGCTACCTGGGGAGGTTGTGGAATCTCCGTCTCTAGAGACATTCAAAACCCAGCTGGATATGTTTCTCTGTCACCTGCTCTAGGTGACCCTGCCTTGGCAGGGGGATTGGACCAGATGAACTCCAGAGGTCCCCTCCAACCCTAACAATTCTGTGATTCTGTGATACCATCACCCATGTCTGCACAAAAATTGAGAAAAAGCAGTATCTGAAATACAGGAAAGACATAACTATTTCCAGCATACCTACTTAGTATTTTTAAGCCATTGACATTATAAACTTTAGATGAGAAGTAACATTTCAGTGCAATCCTGTAACTCACATATTTATATCTGTGCATATTTAATTTTAACAAACTGAAAAGTAATATCATTTCTGATTTTTTTAGTAGATAGGAAATAGTTTACTTAACAAAACAAGTAAATTTATTGAATTTACTTTCCTACAGAGAAAAAAGAATAAAAAATGGCAAACATATTTGGTGTGTTTTTTGAAATAGATCCTAGGTTAGTAGTAGTGTCTTGCGAAAAACAGAAAAATAGAATAAGCAGGCCTCTTTCTTTACACGTATATAATTCATCTTATAAACTGATAAAATAAGAAAAGGAGAATTTACACACAATAGAAAATTTTTAGATTAAACAAAAAATATCCAAGCTGTTTAGTGAATCCAGAAAAGGTGAAATAGAAAATTGCTGTTCATCCTGGATTACAACAGCTGCTAGCTACTTTGATGTGGTTTCAGTGATTCAAGATGAAAAGCTGAAGTAGAAAACAGGTCTTACAGGAAGTTAGGTCATGTCTTTGTGAGAAGGCCAGACAAACCTAAACTTTTCTACTTATGCTCTGAGCTGGCTGAGACTGTACCAACTGTTGTCTGGAGGTTGGATAGCTGCACCCAGATTTTCTTGTGTTACTGAATATTAAGGTATTAAAACTTCCACTAAGCCCATCCATATTCTAATACTCAGAGGTCAGTTCTTTCTCAATAAGTCAGTTTGTCAACGAGACGAAAGTATTGTTGAAATGTTGAGTAAAATGATCTCATGATTAGAACATCATCTGCTATTATTTAAAAGAACTTCTTTTACTCTCACTTTTTTTTTTTTTCCAGCTTCATTTATTTGGTTCGTTATTAAAAAAAAGTCTGGGAGGAAAAAGGGAAATATGGCCTATAGCCCACATTCAGCCTTTCTGTACAGAAGAGAGATGACTTTCAAACAAGTTTTATCAGCATCTATCAGCTCGTTTTTCAGTTCGAGGCATGTTTGATTTGTATGTACAACAGTATGAGAAACGGGAGCCCACTGCTACTGAAGCAAATCTTACTTTGCCACATATGATTTCTACTGAAGCCTTCCTGCATATAAGAGTGAAAAGCCAGAGCAATAAAGACATAAGTCAGTGATGCTTCATTTCTGAGACACTAACTATTCTCTGCGCAGTATTAAAGCTAGGTAGGGTGGGTTTAGGAAATCTTGATTACAGAAGATAAAAAATGAGTGTACAGTAAGACAAATCAAGGTGAAAACTTCTTAAATGATTTTACACAAAGTGTAAGGAAGCTGCAGATAAAGATCCAAACACTGACTGACTTTGGGACAGGAGATGCTCTTCTGGAGCTAGGCATTCGATTCATGTCAGTATGAGAAGGAACCACATATTTGGGATTGTTCTCAGATTCTAATTCATAATTCTAAATTCATAGGTAATGCTATGTTAATAGGATGCTTAAGAAAAAGATTTTCTAAAGGGATATTTCAGTATATAACAGATGCTATATTCATGCTATACTATTCATGACTATGAATAAAGTGGAGTTTATTATTTTCAAACATAGATAAGCACATTCCTGTTGCTATTATTTTATATTCACTTGGTATAAGGAAGTAATGAACATTTTAATAGGCCTAATTTATGCACTGTTTATAATCATGTAAGAAATAAACCCAAATATCAGTAACAATGGGTCAAAACTTTTCTGTTCCACACATTCATAAGCATCTCCTTTGTACTCAGACCAGTATATATGCGTAAGTGCCCTAAAAACAGATCCTTCTGTATGACTGCTAAGGAACTAAAACACCTTTTGACAGGAGAGAGAGCACAATAGAAAAATCACATAATTTAAACATTAAATATTGTATTTTATTACAATTATTTAATTTATTTGAAATAGATATTGCAACAACGCACATGTTCTTTCTGTTTATTAGCTTTTATTCTTATAGAAGAACTAAGCAGAAAAGAAATTATTTCCATATTTTATAATATTTATAGTTGTAAATCACTATAGCTGTAAATCACTATGTATCCTCAGGTATTGTTATATACTTATACTTCAAGAAAACCTTTTCCAGTTCAGGTATAGTTACTCTCTGCTGTTATGTTATCATAGTCCATTTTGCAAGACCACAGAATTCATATGATGACTGTCTTCTTAGATTTAAATTCTGAAATATATGTATTTGCACTGGCTGATGTTTATTTCTAAGCAAACTAAGTAATATAAGCCTGCGGAAGAATAAAATTTTACCTATTACTGACTGGCATTTTAATCAAAGCAAGTAATTTCCATCTTTGACAGGCAGAAAACAAGACACATAGGTCATTTGGGGGCCTTTTCATTCATGTAGTTATTGTCTGGTAAGAACAGATGATTGCTGATTAAACAAGCAGAGTGGAAAAGCAGAGGGGAATGAATAAGAGTGAGGGAATGCTTTATGAAAAGTACCACAGACAGAAGACAAAAAGAGGTATTTTAAAAATATTAGCCAAAGCAACGAAAAGAAATTGTCTCAGGAGCTGCAAGAAATATTTTCAAATCTTATAATCACTTCCATAAATTCTGGTTATATTAAAGGTACACTATTCCATTAGCTTCTGGCTAGGTGATCCTATCTTTTGAATCTTTTTTAGTAGGAGTTAGATTTTAAACATTAAATCACAGAGTTATAAGGTTTTAGTGGTCATTAGTTAGTCATTATTTAGTACTTTAGAAATTACCCAGTTTCTAAACATTGCACACTGGCTAATTGCCTACAATAGTCAACTATTTGGAAGACTTGCAAAATTTTCCATTGTGTGCTCTGATGTCTCTAGTATGTTTTGTTGGGCTTTTTTTGTTAATTGATATTTTTCATCTATAATTGAAATTAGTTATTTTAAAACATTTTCATGTTCCAGATTCTACTATGTATAATTTCATAATAGAAAAATTCATTGTTTCTTTGCCAGAGATTCAATAGCTAAAAGGAACACGAAAGCTTTTCCATCAGTAAAGACCTCAAATAAGCATCTACATCTATAGGCAGGGAAAGAGCAATGGTAGAAGTATAGACTATGTGCAAAATATCTGATTCTGGCTCGTGATGAACACAGTAATCTGGTATGTATTTGGCCAACTCTCCTTTATCATATATGTATCAAATTGTATGGAAACATATTAATTCTAGATTACCTTGGCTGTTCATTTGAGTTAAACTTAAAACTGTGAAATTTGACAGTACAATAAAAAACCCAAAGATTTGTTATTTTTACAGGAACTATGTGAACCAAGGTTTGTCCTGTTCTCCTCCCTTGAATCAATCCCCTAATAATATTATAGGAAATTTCCTACAGATTCCTATTGTTACTGTGGAACTGCCATATCATTGGAGTCCTCAGTGTATGGGGAGTGCACTAGCTGCTGACAACAATGGTCCCAGAGGAACTGGGAGATACCATGTAATAGCCACCTGTGCAA